AGCTACTAAGGCGCCCGCCGCCGTGCCCTGGAGGAGCAGCCGTCTCACTGGGAAGAGACATCCGCTCAGAAGGCAACAGTCTGCTGCCACTCGAAGGACTCTGCCTAATCGTCCCTAGCTACTCCAGCTGGTCAAGTCCTTCTCATCAAAATAAATAAATTCTCTTTCTGTCAACAACAGAAAGGATAAACTCTAAATTTGGAAGCATTGACGTTTCCACGCTTTGAACAAAAACAAGTGGCAAGGTTTCGTAGGATTGTAAGGTGTCCGTCACCAGAAAGACGTCACCATCTTTTAGAATGCCTGCCGCCGTGGTACAAAGGTACGGTCTCTCGTTGGGTAACGAATCCCGTTCAGAAGGTCGCCTCCCACTAACTCCTCTGGTCATTCTTTCTCCCATAGCGCCTCAAAAATTAGACAAAAGACTGCGTAACCACCACGGACGGCACCTTCATTGTATCGCAGTTAGCCCCAGCTCCCTGGCATTCAAAGACCGAATTATGCTGGACGCCGCGCCCGCGTTATCCTTCTCGCAGTTCCTGGTTGCGTGTGAAGGCTACTATACCATTCTTCTAAAGAGACACATTCATAGCAGTAATAGTGATGGCTAGAGTGCCTTCATGTGCGCTTCGCATAGAGTGATGCCAACTGCCTGTTTCCCTTTCCCACACCTTCTTCCACCGCCATTTTGTTCCTCTCATTGTTTCCCCGTGCGCCGGAAAGTGGCCTTTTATGTCCATCGGTAATCCCATCCGAGGGGGAAAATGCTAATCCTCCCTCTGTGGGTTCCACAACGCTGCTCCGAACTTCTGAGATAAGGTGCTTGTTTCCGGGAGGGTTATAAGCCCCACGGATTATCGCCGAGGAACAAAATGGCTGCTGGTTTGTCGGCGAGTGGTATTACAAAGGGTGGCATCACCCTAGCAAAGCGCACATGAAGGCTCCCTAGTGATGGCTTTCGTCTGCTTCACACTTACTTTGCCGCTACCGGCGTGAAAAAAGAAAAAAAAAGAAGGTTTTTGGGCATGAAAGACGGGTCACTACCAGTTCGGCTGGCCCTCGCGGAAGGGCCAAGCGTGGATTAGGGCCGAGTGAGCCGGAACTGCCGAGTGCGGGGGCTAGGCCTACCACTGCGAAAGGGCCGGGAGGGGTGTCGAGGCCGAAAGAGGGGGTTAGGCCGGGCACGGCGGCAAGGCTAAGGGAGGCGAAAGGGCCGAGAGCGGGTGTGGGGATTAGAGCGATCAGCACACGCGTGGCTACTCCGGCGTCGCGGGAATTCGTTGAAAAGAAGACCGATAGATGGCGCGCCCTGTTTTCGCTCCTTTTTGTTTGGGGACCTGTTCGATCGCACAAGTTTAGTTTGGAAACCTGTTTTTTTTTTCTTTTCTTTTCTTTTTTTAACGCACAGTTTATTAGCAAAACTTTCATAAGGAAAAATATGAGGGAAACCAGACCGTCCTTGGTTTCGAAACCCAGGACGGGTTGGTTTCCTTTATATTTTTAATTGAAAATCCACTCGCAAGGTAGGCCAAAGTAGCAGCCCTCTTATCCGCTAGGCCATGGACGCATGAGGTATTTTGCGTCAACTTTTTAGGAATATAAATAGAAAAAACGAGAATGCACATCTCGTTTTTTTTTATTTATTTATTATTATTTTTTTCATTTCTCTCTATCACGAATTTTAGCCATCTCAAATATACTTGCCGCAGCTAAAGGACAGCAAGATGTTTACTTTCAGTCATGATTAAAACTGTTGAGTCCCGCTACAACACCGGAAACAAAATTTTGTAATCGGTGCGAGAACAGTAGCCGTGGCTCCAGCCGGCCCGTTAAGGCGCGTTCACACTCTTGCAACCGAGTACGACCGAGAAAGACTTCTTAAGACCGGATGCGCTGAGCGGAGCTGGTCCTAAGAGATCGCAAGAGGCTTGAAAACCGGTTTGGTCTCTCTCGGTCGTACTCGGTTGCAAGAGTGTGAACGGGCCTTTACGCGCCCACTCATAACTACTCCATGGCCGATCGCACCGCTGAAGTATCGTATCGAAGGTGCAAAAACGGTCTGCTAAAACTGAGGGATCACGAATCGCAAAGCATGTTTGGAAGTCACTGCACGCTAGAGTTACACCTCTATATAATGACTGTAGAAGTCACCTGCGTCGTAGACGGAATCTGCGCGAGGAAGACCGATGATTCAGTTCAGCGAGAACGCGCTTGAGAGCAGACGACAAAACACATATCACCTCTAAAAAAAAAAAAAGCATAGTGCGTTATCTTTTACACGATTACTGCGCCCCAACTTCCAAGCAGCACACCATTGTTTGACCAAATAGGCCCGCAAATGGCAAACATTGGCTCCAATGTTGGCCTAATGTTGATTTTCTCGCAACCGCTACCCGATCGAACGTTGGACCATTAACTAATGCCAATGTAGGACCACGATTCAACCAATATTTAGGCTAATATTGGACCATCATTTATGCCATAGTTCGACCGCCTTTTAACCAAAATGTAAGCCCAACGTTGAGCCACAATTTCACCAACACCTAAGCCATCATTGGACCACTACTGATTGTGAATCCTACAACCAATATTGGCATCAAACCTTAATCACTGGCTTATCCAATATTAGCTCCCAACCTTATGCCCTGGCTATTTAAATTTTGGCATCCGATTTCAAGCGCGGGTTGTACTATTTTCGGCAGCCATTTTAGCGGGCATACAGCTTGCTTTTCAGATGTATTTATAGTGGTCAGTTGAACACTACATATACATCTGAAAAGAAAGCTGCAGTAAACAAGCCACATTCACTGGGGAATTTTTTTTTATCGCATCCAGGTAAATATAGAAGCATGCAATTCAAAGTGTACCGTCTATACATTTTATTATGTATTACAATTAAAGAAAAATTAAAGCAAAAATGAGTGCCAGGATTCACCCCTGCAAGCTGTGAACCGGGCAAGAACGTGATGGCCGGGATCCCACGCAGACTTCTGGGCTCACGGTTCTGAAAGAAACAGAATCGGGGGCCTCGATTCAGATGCCAGTTCCCGCTAGGCCACCTCATACCACTGTAATTTTAAATATTCATTTACCTTTCATCTTCAGTCACTCAGTTCTCTCTTACCTTTGTCAATTATGAATATCCAAATAAAATATAGCTTTATTAATCGTCGCCCTTTAATCAACTGTTCGATTAATCGATTCAGTTGCTCTCTAACATAAAATCTCAGAAATGCCTACCGACTTTTTTAATGTTTACTTTTCTATAATGAAAACTTTCTTTTCCAGCGAATATTTTTCGTTATTTTGTATACAATAAACTTGAGTATTCTAGGAGATAGCAGTACTGCCTTATATGACAAATAGATGAGCAAGTAAGACACCTGGGCCGACTTGCTGGAATCAGCGTCCCAGTCGACAATGGGTGAAAAAAAAAGCACTGCAAAGGGTGGGACGCGCGAGCGTCTTGAGAAGAGGTGTGAGTCGCGCTCAGCGTCTGCGCTGGCTTTGGCAGTGCTTTCCCTAGTCTCAGCTGAGACGCTGTTTCCAGCAAGCCGGCATAGGCGTTAACTGTTGTTTTGTTCGCCCGACTTGTCCTAACTCAGAGCTCGACCGATCTAGTATTAAATACTGATAGTGATTAAAGAAATTAATAAAATAGTAGAAAGATATCAATCCATAAATCGCTTTGCCCTATTCTTGCAATATCATAGGGTTCCTCAACTTTTCATCTAACCTTAAGACCTGTTAATTACAATCTCACCATTTAAGATTACACCTATATCTCTACATTGATTTGGAAAAAAAAACTTTACATTTACGAAATTTGCGGCACAGAAATATGTAGTTAGAAATGTGCTAATATTTCCTTCATAATATTTACCAGTTATAAATCAAATCACTGGCCTTTTTAATCTCACCAGTGTCAAATGTACAGTCGCCGGCCATATGAGCTCCCCCGGCCGAACGCCGACCGGAGCAGCGAAAATCCCGCATGCGGCGCGTCGAGCGTTGCCGCGTTCTGGGAGCCGGGCTATTGGGACCAAACCATTCAGTTATTAAAGGGGAGGACGCAGGAAGTTTAATAGCATTCCGCGTTTTAGAACGTGAATCTGAAGCACGGCAGATTACAATCCCGCTTCCGGTTGTAGGTAAACACAGACGTCTTATCGCAATTCTTCGCTGAATAATATCTCTGACGTGTTATATGCTACTTTTTTATTTGAAAAATTTGTTTGCCATTTTAAATAGTTCCTACCCGAAGAGTAATCCTACGCACAAGCCCCCCTTTCTTACAATCTTTCTCCTACTGAAAAAACCCATATGAAGTTATACCGGATCATACCTGTCCGGTATATTTAGACCGGAGGCCCGATAGCATTATAGCGGCGGCCCGGAGTAGCTTTACCGGGACCGGTGTCCGTTGTCCGGAGTCCCGGTGACGCCATAGCGGCGGCCCGGAGCGCTTTACCGGGACCGGTTTACTTAGCCCGGAGCCCCGGTAGCCTCATAGCGGTTGCCTTAACTGGTGTACCGGACTGTGGCTCCGGTCATAGCGGCGGCCCGGAGTAGCTTTACCGGGACCGGTGTACGTTGTCCGGAGTCCCGGTGACGCCATAGCGACGGCCCGGAGTGTTTTACCGGGACCGGTTTACTTAGTCTGGAGCCCGGTAGCTTCATAGCGGTTGCCCTAACTGGTGTATTGGACTGTGGCTCCGGTCATACCGGGCATTACCGGAACTCCAGGAAAGCAAAGCGGTCGCCCGGTGCGCTAAGGCGGTGAACCGGATACTCATGTCCGTCACCCGGTAACTCTACTGATAAGCGGGAAAGCTGTGGCCGTTTATCAGTTCGTGATACCGCGGCGAAGAACTGAAGCGAAAAGGCCGGCGACTCGCGAAAAACGGAAATGTTTTAATACACCTGGTTTCTACAAATTTAAAGCAAATTAGGGACAATGAAATAAAAATATCTACATAAAAGTGGAGCACGCATTAAGAATGTCTGCAATTGTAGTCTGTATAAAACAAAAAGATATATATCAGAAGTACAAAAAAGGGAATTTCACAGATCTTTATAAAGAGACACAGAAAAGGTATTTATTTTCGAAATTTTTACTCACCCATCTATTGTTCAATCTGCCCCCACAAGATATTTGTAGCATCAAATCTCCTTTATTTTTAATGCTGCTCAAGAATAAGATACTCAGGTTTGCTGCCAGCTTTCCAGTCATGTCGTTACGCACGAGGTTGTTTTAAGGTTGTAGAGCAGGTGTCGCCAAACTTACTGTCCAAGAGCCGCAATCAAAATTGGCAATTTTTCTAGAGCAGCACTGGGAAGGGGGGGGGGGGGGGGGGTGACAGGAGGGAATATTGTTCTTTTGGCCTTTGCAATAACTGATTGTTTAGCAAACATACAGGAACTATGTTTCACGGAGCTTTGGTTTCCTATCTGATCAATGTCTACCTTCATTTTCTGTTAAGTAGAGGGGAATTTCACACAAGTTGCCACACAAAATTGATGCTGCCTCAACCTAGCAGGTGGGAAGGCAGCAAAGTAGCGAATTTTAAAATCGAGATGATGTTTTCATCTAATTTGTTCCCTTCTGAACAGATCTTACTTAGAAAAGCTGATCAACATTGTATTTCATGTCATGTTTGCCGCCTGTTTCTTATTGTAATGTTTTCATCAACAAGCTTAGTGTTTCGTCCCAACTATTTAAATTTGGGTGTCCTCAGATAACGAGATCACTTGGCCAATGAAGAGCCGCATGCGGCGAGCCGAAGATTGGCCACCCCTGTCGTAGAGCATCTAAGGCACATATTCGTAATAGAATTAATCCTTGCAATGCGACTTTCATGACCAATCTGGACACAGAAAAGACGGTACTGATTTCAAGAAACTTTGAGTGAGTATAGTCATGACAATCTTGACTGCAGCAGCACTACGACATCACAGGTCTCTGTTTTGTTTGCCTCAGAGTGAAAGGAAATAAAGAAAATCGGTGCTAAATGTCTCGACACTATATATCCAACGTATATCATATAATTTTTCTTTCCTGTGTTTCTTTAAGACGCTTTGAGAGTAATTTCGTAAAGAACTTGGAATCTTAATCCCGCAGGGAAATGGGAAAGCTATTTAACAGTAATAATGCATGATACAAAAGTTTATTTAAATAAAAAGTAGAATAGCATTGGCACTGCAGCTTAGAAATACTAAAACACTAGACAAATTAAAATATTGCATAACACATATCATATTCCATAATACACATTGACAAACTATTTACATTTAATATTGAACACAATCTTTTCTAATGTAGTCTTAAAGGGCCCCTGAAAAGAAAAAAAAATGTTTTAAACAGTCTAATTGGGACACGCGTGCAAAAAAATAAAAACAAGGCAAAAAATTAATTTTTTAGAGCAATATTAATGGCGCGAGATTTATTTCAAATTCTGTAAGCAAAGTCCACGACGTCACGGGTCATCCTGGAATGACCAAGTCGGTCGTGAAGGCAAAGCCGATCAACCTCTCCTCCACGCGCCCGAAATGCCGAGAGAAAACAAGTGGAAAGGATGTGACTGCCCACTAAATCGCGTCGTCAATATTGCTTTTTTTTTTTTTTTTTTTTTGTAAAATTAATTTTTTGAGACGCGTGTCTCAACCAGATTGTTAAAAAAAAACTTTTTTTCTTTTCAGGGGCTCTTTAATGGCCATGAGCTGAGGTGCTCTGTTGAAACCAGCTAATTTCACTTTTGTTGCGTTACATTGTCTCTTTTGTTCCCACAAAAAACCAAATAGAGAAAGGAATCGATAGTAAATGCACGACAGATGCCGATATTTGCCTTTAAAATGAAGAAAAATTTAAATGATCTTCTAAACCTCTGAATGAGTTCACAAGCATGTTTTCACTTATGTCACTAGCTTCTTTTCCCAAATAGTCATACGCAAAACTGCACTTTGTCATTTGGTGAATTCCTAAGCAGCACTTTGTCCAGAATTACAATCTGTAGTAATGTGCCGGCTTAGAATGCTCAGTCACGTTCTACAACATTTGGCAAGTCACAAACATAGGTGGTCTCCTCGGGTACAAAGTTAATAAAAATGCACACGCAGGCCACAGCCTTAATGTCGATGGCGGTCAGTGTCGCTTGTCGAGACAGAAAGCACTCGTTGATGTGTCTTGGAAGCCTGACATCAGCCTCGACCTCTACAATCTTTTTGCACAACAACACAGATTGTGTTTCACTACCAGTGTTCACTTGCAAGATGCGCATTATCTTGAAATGTTCCCCTGTTTTAGTCAGAATTACACTTGAGTCACTTTTCTTGGTTCTTGAGTACTGGTCGCTGTTGTACACCATCTTGTCTAGTACAAACCGCTTGTACTCGAGAACAGTGGGAGGTAGGGAAATGCCTGCCACTTCAAGTGCAGCTTCTTCCTCTGACGTTAGCCGTCCCACAGCTGTGGGAGAGCCCAGCATACAAGCACCATCTGTGTACCAGTACTTCTCCACCCTCTTGAAGCCCAGCATGTCTTGGCAAAGCTTTTTTGTGGCCTCATGAAGTGGAATGCAAGACAGAACCTGCCGAAGTTCCTGAAGGACAACAACTCTTTCCACAATTTGCATTGGAACTCCTTTAGCGGCGGTTACAGACTTGACTATTCTTCCGTTACCACTTTCTAACACAAATGCTCAATGCGCCCACAGAGGCCCCATCTGCTCCGCTGCCTTCTGAAGATGGAGCAATTGATGAACATTGTAAGTCATGCAGGACTCTTTCTTGTACAGGCGCTCCACCCTTGCCACGAACTTCTGCAGAAGGTGGCCTGAAAATATACAAATATATTTTTGAAGACATATCTTGGCAGACACATTCAAGTGAGAGGTCTCTGGGTTTTGTTGCAATTGTATCCAAATTGTCCGTTTTAAAATGTTTTGCATAATACAGTATAGACCACTTACAACGTAACCGCTTATAGTGCAGGACTGGGTATAACGCGGCTTTCTTAAACCACCGGTTCGCCTCCCATAGAACTCCATGTAATCACATACCGCTTAAAATGCGGGCGCGCAAAGGGAAATACCAGTTATAGTGCAGTTTCTGGAACAGCCCACAGACCGTGCCGACCAACCAGTGCAGCGAGCAGGCTTCCCTGTGCGACACTAAATAACGGCGCTGGCCGCAAGCGGCACTCGCGGGGCAAGGAAATTGCTCGAAGAAGCGGGGAGAAGCGAAGAAAGAGGCTTCAGTTGCCATAGCGACGGAGGGACGAAAAATTTGGGGGGGGGGGGGGGGGGGGGTTTACGTGCCAAACCAACGACAGGCATCTGGGCGGAGGGACGCACGCACGTGTCATTCACATGTGTGCGTCCCTCCGTTGCGTTGGAGACAACCGCAACGACAGACCAATTGCAGGTTGAGGAGAAGCATGCCGGTCGCGGGCCGGCTTCTTCTATCCGCAAACATGGCGTCGGTTGTGATTGTCGACGTAGACGGCGTGGCGAAAGCTCATCGTTCGCGTAAAAGCGCTATCCTTCACTGTGAATTTTCGTTGTGTGTTGCTACGATAACCCAGCACGTACTAGAAGGGAAGATCCACCTATTCGTGTGGCGATGTCGTGGACGCACTCTCAAGACGGCAGAAACGCCCGTGCCGTCGTGTTTGTTTACTTCGACTACAGTGGTGCTTTCTTAGCATTTGTGTTTTCGAACATCGCCCGGATTTCTTATTTGGAGCATTTCATGCCTGTGCTAAAGTTGAAAGTATTACTGGTGCGTACCGTATAAAAGATGTGAATTTTCACGCGTTTTCATCACAGAAGAAAAGTGATTAGGGTTAGCAGTCCTGAATGCTCGCAACGTCCGTCCGCAACCCGCGATGCCATTAAAAGGCTGCGCCAGGCAAAAGTCGCTAATTTCTTTCAAAATGTGTGAAACACTTGAGAGAGAGGTGTACTAGTCTGGTGAATTAAAGACTTTCCTCAAACTACGCTTTATTTTTCATGTAACATAAAATAAATTATTTTACAAAGGTAAGTTGTCTCATGGCATGTATTTTGGCCTGAAAAATTTATGTTTTGGTTAATATGCGGTACCGCTTATAGTGCGGATTTTTGCGACTCCCGCGACATACGTTATATGCAGTTTACACTGTAGTGCTGTGCAATTAAACCTTTAAAGGTACTTCACAAGCAGCAAACAGAAACAAAAGTGCTGACGGGTTGTGAGGACCTTCCATCATGTGAAAATGTGCAGATCATCTAGGTACAGACAAAAAGCGCAAGCTCCACGATAACTACTGGCGCCAATCTCCTTACTACACATCTTACAGCTTGTTCTGGCCACAGCTCGTTACACTAACACGTGGAAACAAAAGGGTCTGTTGACATTAACCACACAGGAAAGGTAAAGTATGACTGCCTCCCTAATGACCTGGGGTTTGCACTGTAAAAATGTTAGATCACCCAAGGGTAAGAACTATTCAATGTGCCTCACTTCAACATAGCTTTCACAATATCCCCATATTAGTATATTCAATTAATTTATTTTAAAGGCATCAATGACATCTTTAGCCCTAACCTAAATAGTGGGGTGAGAAAAGGACAGTACAACATGAATTTCCACTCACCCCACTCTCCAGGGTTCTAGGGCCCATACAATGCTATTTGAGCCACTGCTTTTTTCACATTATTTGGATTTCCTATTGGCTAGCCAGAATTGGAAAACAAGGGGTAAACCCCAAAATATTAAGGCATCATATTTTAATTCGACATTGAAAAAAACTTTTCAAACTACGGTGGCCTCTCGTGGTGTTAAATGTGTGCGGCCGGCTGGTGTCTGCAGAGGTGTCCGTTTCGTGATTGACCAAAGCGTTCAGATGTTTCTTTGTGGAAGTGAAATAAAAGGCTGGATTGGGGGAGCCGTCCTAAGAAGGTAGTTTTTATGAAGCTACAGGGACCAAAAGACAAATAATTTAAGTTTAAACATTGTGGACACAAGAAACAGTAGGTCTGTTTGATTCGCCTGAACTGGCTGAACTAGTTCAGCAATGCAGGAACTGGTGCATTCGATTCAACCGGAAGTTGCACGGCCGCTGCACTGGTGCGTTCGATTCATCCCAGTTCTGAACAAGTTCAGACCCAGTTCCTCAAAATCTTGCACCAGCTCCGAAGTCAGTTCGGCGTCCGTGCAGAAGCACACGACAAGAGCAGACAGCGATAGCAGACGACACTCCTTGTCCGTCTCTGGTCGAGCGTTGGGGTGCCATTTTTCGCAGCTGCTTAAATGTCCCTGCAATGTTTAACTATAATGCCAATACGGAGGTTGCATTTCCTCTCATTTATGATAATAAAGTACCTGTGGTGGACGCGGAATTGAGATCATAACCGAGGGTAGGAATTTAATTGATTATGCTATTCTGGAAGAGTTTCAGGCACCTGCTCGTGTAGGTTTGGATCCCTGTGGTAGGTGTTGAAATAATGGCTCCCGTAACTTGTTTCTTTTTGATGCTATGTGGGGATCCAAAATGTTGATATTCTTCCTTACAGACACGGGAGAGGTATTGCACTCTTGATAGTACCCGCTTTCAGTTGCTCTTGGATGCATACTGACGACTCCGATACATTGCAGAGGTCTGGGATATAGTACATTGGCCCTCACATGCCCCATAGCTGAGCATAATACTGCATGCTTTGTCCGCTGGTATTTGTAGACGCCCACTAACGGGTTTAGAAAAAATGCCGAGAATTGGCATTGGCTTGGTAGTTTCACGCAGGTCTTTTTTGAGAATCAGAATAAACACTTCAGCTTGACGCCAAAGTTGCAGTCGATGACTGCATTGGCCAAAACGCTCTTGTCAGGCCTTCGTCTTCGAGGTGACCGCTACCGACCGCGCGCTGCCGCCAGTATCTCCCAACGCAAAATCATCCTGATGCCGCAAACCTATCATCGAAATGCGAAACTTGAGAGACTTGAAATGAATCTACTATTGCTAAATGAATGTGAAGGACACGAACGCTTATGGAAATGACAGGAACTGAACGGCCGTTAAAAATACAGACAGAAACAGATTTCGTGCCGAAACTTTTTAGTACACTCAGATAAAAAATATTCACAGAAAAGATTCCGTTATTATACTTTAAAACTAAGGAAACACGAATAGTCTCATCAAACCACGACTAATTAAATGTAGCCTACAACGTGGCGTGGAGAAACAAGAGCCAACGGATGCAGACGACACCCTCCGCTTCCGCTCGGAAAACCGATCCCAGCGCCAGTCTTAGCACGGCGGCTGCAGTGGTTCTGCGCCGCCGCTGCACGACTCCTGCGCTCCTCTGAACTCAGGCAGAACTAGTTCAGAACTTTCTGGTCAAATCGAACAGACCTAATGAACAGCGCCTCCCCCCAGTGACAGTTCGAACTAACATGGCCGCCTCTCCGTCACTCGTGCTGGACCGGACGGCTCCATTACTTCGTTGCGACAAGAAAAGCAATTCTGTGTACCGTTTCCACGCGTCCCAACTTCAAGCATCCAGATCAGGGAAAGAAGAATACGAGGCTGCAATTTCCAGAACGCGGAAGCGACAAAGCAACAACTCTGTCGATCAATACTCAAGCTGGCCTACACTACAGGCTAGACTTAGCGTCCCTCCGACCTCCATGTGGGGCGGGAGGGCGCTAACTCCCCGTAGAGTTTGAACGCGAGTGTGTTCAAACTCTACAGGTATACCCTTTCTGTGTGAACAGCCTCAGCTTTGACCTCAATTGCTTCAAAAGGCAAGGTTCGTCCCCTCATAGTTCTTGTGCCATTTTTGCAGAGGTGACCAGCTGTGCTGTTACGAGGAACATGTTTAGTGCAACCTCTCGTCGCACAGTGATAATTGCGTTGATCAGATCTGCTGTTTTGTCCAATATAGAGTACACATAAAGGCTTTTGGATTACCCTTTCATCATGCAGTAGGTATGCCTTAATTCTTCAGTTGTTCATTTTTATTGAAATGTGAAAGAAACGACAACATGAGTGTTGTCTTCCACTTTCTCTGAGGCAGGTTCAAGCCTAGAGTCTTTGCCAGTGTCGCCAGTGGCCTTCCGACGCCCCGCCTTCCTACTAAGAATACGGAGTTTGAAATTGGATAGCTCAGGTGCATTCCTAGCAAAATAAAGGAGCAATGGCTCATTTCGAGTGCTTTGAGCCGACGATACATACACAACTTCAGAGGCGGCCATGAGCCTAACTTGCACCCAATTGGCCAGTCTGTCCGCTCCCAACCCTCCTGTCACTGTGCCTACCACCTTAGATGCCACAGAGAGTGCATTTTTGCTTGTTTTTGCTTCTTGCACTTAATTTCGATGTATGTACATTTACCTTAAAAATATAAATTGCCGAAAAATATTTTTTCCTCTGTGTTACTAGGTTGTCTGAGTGCAAGTGCAAAACCAGCTGAAAAATCATTGCACAGTCCCTTTAAAGATGTCATTTTTAAACCAGCTCGCCCGCATCCTCAAGTTAACTTGAAGAACATGCATGTTAATTGCTTATTTATTACACTTTACACTAAGTAGCTGTGGAAATGGCAAAACAGTGGGGGAATACAGTGGTAGCGAATGAGGCACAAATACAATTTCAAACATGAATTACAACATTTCGGCAAAATAAATCTGCTAGGTACGGAGTGTGACACTGTTAGAGTGTACTCTAAACGACTTAATTTTGTGGGCTCAATATTCATGAATTTTGCAAAGCGCTACTTAGAGAAATATTTCACAGTCATAGGCCTTCGCAATTAGGAGTGACAATCAATGAGCGCGTTAAGTCGGCGCTCCTTTACTCCTACTCCGACGCTCCGAGTTTCATGCTCCGAGCGCAGCAACTAAACGGCGCATATCGTACAGGAGCGCGACACACCGAGGCTGCGTTCCAAACCTACTCGAATAGATCCGAGTTACCCTGGCGTTTTATGGCACGTGACCACAAAAATAGAGAAACGCTGGACGCGGGTAGGTCTTCGATAACCACCTTTACCCTAGAGTTAGATCGAGTAAGTTTTGGAAAACGGCCAGAAGCTATCGACGGGCCACGGCCCACAGGAGCTCCTTCCAACCGTGGATACGGGTGGCAGAAGCCGAAAATATTTCGAAGATAAATAATTAGGCCCGTGTAGAGCGGCAGAGTCTAAAGCAAAAGAGACGGCAACGTTATGAAGTTTCTACGAACGTTTTAATATTCCTGAAAGGTTTAAACTCGCTTCGTGCACATATGTGGAAGGTTACCTTGGTTGACCTGTTTATTGACCATGCATGCTGTTCCGATTTCAATAAAAGACAACATTCTTGACCCCGCTCGTCGACGCAGGAAAACCCTCAAATTTATCAGATTCCCTGGTTCCGTCTCGCGGCGAGACGGAAGCTACGCCGATACCGGCACACCGTTGTTCGATTGCACGTCAATTCGTTTTTAGGCGGTATGCATGAACAAACCTTTACCGCAAGGCTAACTGGTATTTCGGCTTTCCAATCTAAGTATCTTTATTCGTCGCGGCCGGGCTAAGCATTCGAAGCAGGGCGACCGTCTGACTGTCTTTTCATCACATTTCTGTCGCCGAGCTATCGGCACGCTCGTTCGAAAGATCAATTCGTTTTTAGGAAAGACGCGGTCACTGATGTTTCAGCTTTCCAATCGAAGTACCTATTCGCTGGGCTAAAGGCCCGTTCACACACGTCGGTTGCATGCAGCTGCGTCCACAGCGACCGCTGCAACCGGTACGACTTTTGCAACCAGTGCGTGCTGCGTGTACACACACATGGAACCGACTCATGCCACACTCATGCCGCTCGCCGTGAACAGCCAATAGAAAACCTGCCAGAGCTTTTGCCCTCAGCCAATAGCAATAAACCAAGTCTTCCTTGCTAAAATGGCGGACGGTGGCATGGACGCGCGCTCGTCGGGTACCTCACCGCCGTCGGCTCTTCCGCTGCACGAGCTTCTGCTTTGCGTGTTTTTGGAGTGCGTGCGCAGGTACATTGCCCGCGCGGGCAGGGGGACAAATTGGGCTTTGGTGGCGCGGTCGACGGCTGCAGCGCAACTGCTGCTCAGCCAAACAACGCGTCCTCCTCGGGAATGGGTTCGGTTCCTGTTGCGATCGCGGGAGACCTTCGGAGAGTTTCACCATCTGGTCCGTGACCTGCGTCTCGACGACGGACGCGATTTCTTCGCATACTTCCGGATGACACGCCAGAGGTACGTACATACCTCACTTTTTACCCGATTACCTCTCTGCGGCGTCGCGGCTGTCCTCAGCCGTAATAAATATTTTATTGTTATATTATTATTATTGAGCGATAAGCAATGTCTTCAAAGACCCATCGATTACCAAACTCGAGATTGCCGCCGGAATGGACCATTTTCGGTATTCCTGGTTTCAGCGCTTCGACATGAAAATATGTTCGCGATCTACGAACTCGCGAGCGATCATGGCAGGTTTTTAAAGAAGCGGCCCATGTCGGCGCTCGTGTTGTGCACAGACGTGCATCACCAAGACCTCTAGAACCGGCAACTTCCGAAATATGTTAATTTAAATCAATATTAGTTCTGCGGAGCCGTGTTCCGAATTAACAAAGTGACCTTGTAGATTTGGAGAACACAGTTGTGATGACTTAATTTGCTAGCATCCAACCAGTGATTTCATCGTAAAGTAGGACGTAAAGATGCAAATATTAGCATAATTAACGAGGTTGACTGTAAAATGAGCTGGCGAAATCGGCGCATATGCTCTTGGAGGTTTTGTTTTAGCGTAAAAATTTAAAGGCGTAGGTGTTGATTTTGTAAACTGTATCATCTGCAGATTTGACCACCTGCTCTCCCTGGTTGGGCCTCTTCTACAGAAGCAGCTGACCTCTTGGCGAAAGCCGATTCCCCCGGCTGAAAGGTTGTCGTTGACAATCCGGTAATTTGAGTGATTTTATGACTACTATGAACGCAACATTAAACTTCACCTCTGAGAGCTTCCTTGATTAACAAAAAAGAAAATAGCTAATAGTCTTGCATTCCTTCAGCCACTGTCAGTTCATTTGTGTGAACATACTTACTAAAAAAAGTGTCCTATTAGTTCAACATAGTACATACCATAGAATACCGTGCATCTGCCCATTCCACATTCTCTCGCAATTATTTCTATATTTTAAGTGGGTGCTTGCCCGGTTTTTTGCGGTACTTTTCTGCTTCACTCACAGCCAAAAATCAGACATTTTTTTAGTCATCTCTTTTCGTCGGTAGAGATCTTGTAATGAAAATAAGGTATTTGAACGAGCTCTGCCACAGGGTGGTAGTGTCTTGGCGCCATGTTCGTGGTCACCAGGCAGCTCGGTGGACGTGCATTGTTGTGTTGAACTGGCCGGATATTGAGTCAATCAGTGCCACCAAACTCAGATTATTAATTTATTAACCAGCGTATGTCTGTACGGGAATTATGCTTTTCTGGCCATTCATTTTATTTTGTGTCTCAATATGGGAACGCACATTGCGAGCCAGAATATTCAACTGCGTCGTGTTTGAATCCAACAAACGCACAAAATGGATGCCCGTTGATCAAAATGTTGCTTGAGTTAGGTATTTCTTGATACTGAAAGTTATCATAATACAATGCAATACAACCGAAGCGAAGAGAAATGGAGTGGTTTCTCCGGGTGAACCGCAAAGATGTGAACGGCTCAAGAAATCATTATAATGTGTGTGGAAAACACTTCATTTCACATCATGCTTTGCTATGCTTTGAGGACGACTGATCTGCATAAGAAATGAAGCAAATCAGCTGTAGAATCCATGCCATCAGTAGTCAAATATTTACCTGCATTGCAATGATGACAGTGTCTGAATGAACTCGCTTTCCTTGTGGCTCACCTAACCAGCCGCGGATAATACAATTGTGGCCGTTGAAGGACTGCTACAACTTAAGCTTTTTTCGAGTCACAAAACTTGTCCGCAAAACAAGATAATTGAGAATGCCGCACGTGTAGGTACGCTGCCAGGTGTCGACGTTCACAACACATTCTTGTACATGCGGTATAAATGTACCAATGTCATCTCCCTGTGAACATGATGCTGGCTAGTCAAGTTTTGTTTGTTTGAAATTTTGTGAATGGGTTTTGCTGTCATCACACCAGTGGGAAAACGCACCATTGCACAAAAACGTCACGAGGAGGCACTTGTATGACATTGCCCGAATAAAAACGCTGGTGTCGCAGATTTCACGCATACCGGCAATCAATAAAAGTTAGCAGATGAGGCGAGTGCCTTGAGTTTTTTGACATTGTGTGAATATCTCCCATATGATATTCTTAGTGCATCAAGACCAATGCCCTGACAGGACCAGGCAGGAAATAAGGACTATTGAAACTAGTAATGTTGCAAACTTTATGGGTTTGCAACATCGCTATATTTTCCGACCTTTAAATTGGGAGGTAGGTACCCAGACTTTTCAGAATTGAAAGTGCAAAATCATAAAATGGAGGTTCAAGAAACTGCAGTCACGGTCCAAGTGTGGAACCCAAACAGTCTTGCGAACAAATACACTTGTATGGACATGTTTACAGACAAGTACCGAGAGCCTCGACACCATGATTTCTGAAGAACCCACTATGTCGCCCAAAGTTTTTAGAGGTTCAAGGCTTGGAGGACCTTGAACTTCATTGAATTTGATTTATGAGCTCAGTCAACTCTACAAGTTTCAAAGAGTGAAATACTGAAACCCAATTGTTTCTTCATTAAAACCACCCTCTATTAAACTTCTTTTAGATACCTTGCTCATGGGTCCTCGCAGCTCATATGCTCGATGGGCTACCGAATCGGCCGGTCGACAACATCCGTAATTATCAGGGAGACGTGCCTGGCTCTCCACAAGGTGTTGGACCCACTATACCGCCCTGTGAGTATGGTGGCAAAAATTCTGCCGACACCACTATGTCTTACGACAAATTGTTTAATTTTAACGAGTTTATGTACATTTCAGTGACCAGACCTTATGACATTTTATATCATTTCGGTGATGTTTGCTTAAGCCTTTTCCCAGTATGCTAACCTAGCTTGACAAACACCAGGTGGTTCCAATGAAGCTCGGTGCAAGCCTGACATTATATTTCTATTCCCCGAGCATACCGAAGCAAAGTAAGGGGTGCCCACATGCAGCACCCTTCGTTTGGAAGCCCGGCTTCTACCGTGGGTGGTCCTAGCTGTGAATGTTGCCATGTCCCACGGCCACCAGAATCTGATTCTGGGCCCAAGTATGGCAACGAGTGAAGCGAGGCTACCTGGGAAGCAAATTATCATCTCAACAAAACGTCGCAGGACCCATGCGGCCCGCAAAGAGAGTATCTACGAAATGTTGCAGTGTCTACGAAATGTATTCAATGCAATGGGATAAGCTGGCGGGCTGTATTAAATGTCAGTTGTCAGTTAGCACCCTTCCTGTCTACCTCGTCCTTCCTTCCTTGTTGTTTTGCACTATTCTATCAATGTATTCAATGCAAAGTTGCTTACGAAATATCGCAGTGCGTTCATTCTTTTTAGCTGCACCGATTCAGAAAAGTGCAGGGCGGTGAACATCCGGTATGTGTATTGACATAGGACCGGAAGTACACCACCATACACTTCTCCGCACCGGTGCAGCTAAAAAAAATCCACCCAGTTTCGACGAAACGTGTTCAAGAAATAGGAGGCGATGCGAAGGTGTTCACGAAACGTAAAACTGTCGAGGAAATGTGCTTATGAAATGCGAGTCGACGCAAAGTTGTCCACGGAAGCAGTTTTGATGCAACGATACAAACCCCTCCGAGTATGCATTTTTTTCTCACTGCTATTTTCTATTCTGCATAGACAACGCATCTACACCAGATAAATTATAAAGCCTCTTTTGTCTGGACAACAAACAAGACATGCATGTATAAACGCATTTTTACAGTTCCTAAATTTATTTTTCGTTAAGCACTGCCCTTTCCATTCTCTGACACGTGTACTCTTTCTTTTTTGCTCCTGCAAGAATCGAAAACAAGGCTTTAGAAGTTGCAGGTCTAATTAGTGTTGTGGGGTATGTTGGAACTTAAATGAGATTAGCTAAGAGTACTTGATCAACTGCTCTGCAGGCCCCCAACACTGCCCAGTGGGAGCGACTTGCAGGGGAGTTCGAAAGGCTGTGGAATTTCCCGAACTGTGTCGGAGCCTTGGACGGCAAGCATGTGGCCATCCAAGCTCCACCTGGTGCAGGCTCCGACACTTTCAACTACAAGGGGTTCCACAGCATCGTCTTACTTGCAGGCTGTGACGCCACCTACAAGTTTACGCTGGTAGACGTTGGGCAACCAGGGCGGTATAGTGATGGAGGCATCTTCAGAAACTCTGAAATGGGGCAGTCCATACTGTCTGGAGGACTTGGTCTCCCGCCGGCTGGACGTATGCCCCGGACATCAACCAAACTGCCTTTCGTCTTTGTAGCAGATGAGGCCTTCCCCCTGCTCACTAACCTGATGCGCCCTTACCCTCGGAAAGATCTGAAGTTGAAGCCAAGGGTGTTCAACTACAGACTTTCCAGGTCGAGGAGGGTCATTGAAAATGCTTTCGGCATCCTAGTTGCACGTTGGCGCATCTTCAGACAACCAATCCAGGGGTCTGAGGAGACCCTGGATGCCATTGTCTGGGCATGCGTCAACCTGCACAACTACTTAAGGGTGTGCGATGAAAGCGAGCAGGGGGAACGTCGCTACTGCCCTGCTGGTTATGCTGACCGAGAGGAAGCGTCGGGAGCCATAACCAACGGTCAGTGGAGGGCTGATGCCGCTGACGGGAGTGCACTTTCTGATGTGACCCGTTTTGGCTCAAACAATGCATCAGATAGCAACAAAGCAGTGAGGGAGAAGTTCACTAGATACTTCTGCTCCTCACATGGCGAAGTACCTTGGCAGTACAAGGTGGTATTCAGAGGCTGCATGCCTGAGAACTAGGTGCAATAACCCACTTAAAGGAGCTGTGCAACAATTTCAGGGCTTTGCTTAAATTATTGTGGAAGTTGATGCCTGACACTTCTGAAGTGAACTACAGAAAACAGATTTTGCCTGGATACCCTAGCTTTTATTTACAAAAATGAAAAAGATCCAGGTTTTTGCCGCCTCTCAACTCGTACGTTGTCTTCCGGGTCATGTGCGCAGTGATGTTGGGGGGGTAGGGCGCGGGGTTCCGGAAAGTTCCGGAAAGTTCTCTCTTAAGAGCCATCAGTGAGCAGCGAGAACTCATTCGCTCGCGACAGCGTGACGACGTGCTGGCGGGTGCCGCGCAGACAATATGGTGAAAGGAGGAAAGTCTTATCCGGGTCTGGCCATAGCTTGTCCGGCCCTGTCCCCCTCCCCCTTTGGCTTCTGTTCGTGGTAGCAGAGAGCTCCGACGGTTTTGTGGACCTAGGATAGATGGCGCCACTAAAACTCCGTATAATAAAGGTTTTGTCAATGATACCAGGTTTTTGACGCATTTTTATATATGTTGGAACGACAAGATTTAAAGGAAAGTTACCTTCTATCGAGCAGGTATTCACACAACTTGAAATCTTTCTACAAGATTCCCCATTGACATCACACCGCGTGCTTCTCATGGCCACCGCTCACGGCTGCAGGTCGGGGAATATTCTAAGTTTTGCCTCGGTGCTACGCGGCGGAATCGCAGCATTTCAATGAAAGGAGGTGTGTTTTCTGTCATTTGTGACAAGGTGAACAATATCAAAAGCCGATGTTAAGTCTTTCAACATTTAAATCGTTGCACAGCTCCTTTAAAGAGGTTATTTTAATATTTTGTTTCCACTACATAGTTCCTTTTTTAGAATTATTTTCGTTGAACAGACGCTAGAGAAAGGGGGACCAAGCACCTTGAATGCATTTTTCAATGTTGTACTTTTTTGGGCATAAATTTGGCAGGATAACTATCGTTCTGCCATGGTTTTAGCTAATTTAACGAGCAGTTCAACTATGGAATGTTTTTGTTTTTCCCTTGCTTTGCTAGATTTTTTTTTTTTTTTTTTTACGACGACATGGCAGTGGTTTGGTAAGACTAAGTCGCTGAATGTACCCAAGGTACCACCGCATTCCATAGCGTCTGCTTGACTGGACGTTGAGCCAATTGAGCTTTTTGATGACTGGCAATCTTGTTCTGTGGTTGTTCAACTTAAGCATGTGCAAAACATTTACGCACATGAAGAACTGATGAGAAACTACTCAACATTTGCTGGGTCTTTTCATGTGGAGTAGCTTTTTGTGTCTGTTTTTGTGCAGATGATAAAGCAAAAGTCTTCTGTTTGTTTTGGCCATCAAAGATTATGAATATTAGAAAGAATAAAGCATATGCAAACAAAAAAAAGGTGTCCCCCATGAATCCAGATCCAACTACTGACTTGAATATTGATTCATCATCTCACATCACAATAGTAACACTTTATTACATAGTGCCTCAAAATGATGGCTCCCGAAATCACAATAGCTTCGTTGCACTGCCTCAAAACGACTGCTCCCGACATAAAAAAAGTAATGCTGCTTTGCACTTTTTCGCGATACGACGGCACAACTTGTGACAACAAAATAGTAACTTTGCTGTTCTGTGCTTCAAAAAGGCGGCTTCTCAGATCACAGTAGTAGCATTTCATTGCACTGTGCCACAACAGGACTCAAAAAAAACAAAAAAAAAAAAAAAAAACAGCAACTTTCCTGCATTGCGCCTCAAAAGGACGGCTTCTGAGATCACAGTAGTAATAGTTCATTGCACTGTGCCGCAACAAGACGGCCCCTCAAGAAACAGTAACTTAGCTGCATTGCGCCTCAAAAAGACAGCTTCTCAGATCACGGCAGCAATAGTTCATTGCACTGTGCCACGACATGACGGCATGACGACCCCTCAAAAACAGGAACTTAGCTGCATTGCGCCTCAAAAGGACGGCTTCTCAGATCACTGCAGTAATAGTTCATTGCACTGTGCCACGACATGATGGCATGACGACCCCTCAAAAAACAGTAACTTAGCTGCATTGCGCCTCAAAAGGACGGCTTCTTAAATCACGGCAGTGATAGTTCATTGCACTGTGCCGCAACAAGACGGCCCCTCAAGAAAAAAAAAGGAACTTAGCTGCATTGTGCCTCAAAAGGACGGCTTCTGAGATCACAGTAGTAATAGTTCATTGCACTGTGCCGCAACAAGACGGCCCCTTAAAAAAACAGGTACTTAGCTGCATAGCGCCTCAAAAGGACGGCTTCTGAGATCACAGTAGTAATAGTTCATTGCACTGTGCCGCAACAAGACGGCCCCTCAAAAAAACAGGTACTTAGCTGCATTGCGCCTCAAAAGTACGGCTTCTGAGATCACAGTAGTAATAGTTCATTGCACTGTGCCGCAACAAGACGGCCCCTCAAAAAACAGGTACTTAGCTGCATTGCGCCTCAAAAGGATGGCTTCTGAGATCACAGTAGTAATAGTTCATTGCACTGTGCCGCAACAAGACGGCTCCTCAAAAAAACAGTAACTTAGCTGCATTGCGCCTCAAAAGGACGGCTTCTGAGATCACAGTAGTAATAGTTCATTGCACTGTGCCGCAACAAGACGGCCCCTCAAAAAAACAGGTACTTAGCTGCATTGCGCCTGAAAAGTACGGCTTCTGAGATCCCAGTAGTAATAGTTCATGGCACTGTGCCGCAACAAGACGGCCCCTCAAAAAAACAGGTACTTAGCTGCATTGCGCCTCAAAAGGACGGCTTCTGAGATCACAGTAGTAATAGTTCATTGCACTGTGCCGCAACAAGACGGCCCCTCAAAAAAACAGGTACTTAGCTGCATTGCGCTTCAAAAGGATGGCTTCTGAGATCACAGTAGTAATAGTTCATTGCACAGTGCCGCAACAAGACGGCCCCTCAAAAAAAACAGGTACTTAGCTGCATTGCGCCTCAAAAGGACGGCTTCTGAGATAACAGTAGTAAAAGTTCATTGCACTGTGCCGCAACGAGACGGCCCCTCAAAAAACAGTAACTTAGCTGCATTGCGCCTCAAAAGAACGGCTTCTGAGATCACAGTAGTAATAGTTCATTGCACTGTGCCGCAACAAGACGGCCCCTCAAAAAAACAGGTACTTAGCTGCATTGCGCCTCAAAAGGATGGCTTCTGAGATCACAGTAGTAATAGTTCATTGCACTGTGCCGCAACAAGACGGCTCCTCAAAAAAACAGTAACTTAGCTGCATTGCGCCTCAAAAGGACGGCTTCTGAGATCACAGTAGTAATAGTTCATTGCACTGTGCCGCAACAAGACGGCCCCTCAAAAAAAACAGGTACTCAGCTGCATTGCGCCTCAAAAGGACGGCTTCTGAGATCACAGTAGTAAAAGTTCATTGCACTGTGCCGCAACGAGACGGCCCCTCAAAAAACAGTAACTTAGCTGCATTGCGCCTCAAAAGGACAACTTCTGAGATCACAGTAGTAATAGTTCATTGCACTGTGCCGCAACAAGACGGCCCCTCAAAAAAACAGGTACTTAGCTGCATTGCGCCTCAAAAGGACGGCTTCTGAGATCACAGTAATAATAGTTCATTGCACTGTGCCGCAACAAGACGGCCCCTCAAAAAAACAGGTACTTAGCTGCATTGCGCCTCAAAAGGACAACTTCTGAGATCACAAGTAGTAATAGTTCATTGCACTGTGCCGCAACAAGACGGCCCCTCAAAAAAACAGGTACTTAGCTGCATTGCGCCTCAAAAGGACGGCTTCTGAGATCACAGTAGTAATAGTTCATTGCACTGTGCCGCAACAAGACGGCCCCTCAAAAAAAACAGGTACTTAGCTGCATTGCGCCTCAAAAGGACGGCTTCTGAGATCACAGTAGTAAAAGTTCATTGCACTGTGCCGCAACGAGATGGCCCCTCAAAAAACAGTAACTTAGCTGCATTGCGCCTCAAAAGGACAACTTCTGAGATCACAGTAGTAATAGTTCATTGCACTGTGCCGCAACAAGACGGCCCCTCAAAAAAACAGGTACTTAGCTGCATTGCGCCTCAAAAGGACGGCTTCTGAGATCACAGTAATAATAGTTCATTGCACTGTGCCGCAACAAGACGGCTCCTCAAAAAACAGTAACTTAGCTGCATTGCGCCTCAAAAGGACGGCTTCTGAGATCACAGTAGTAATAGTTCATTGCACTGTGCCGCAACAAGACGGCCCCTCAAAAAAACAGGAACTTAGCTGCATTGCGCCTCAAAAGGAAGGCTTTTCAGATCACGGCAATAATATTTCATTGCGCTGTGCAACAACACACAACTCCATAAAAAAAAAAAAAAATTCACTGCACTGTGCTCCAGAAGGACAAGTCTTCGGATCACAGTTTTTACGACACATCCGTGTCCGAAAGAAAAAGCAAATGTTGTCATGAATAATAAATGAAATCTTCAGGACATGCTAAGTAGTGAAGAGTATAAAAAATATAAATTTCTCCAAATACAACACAAGTGATGTCTAGAATAAAATGTCAGAGTCGAAAAGATTATATACACACCATCAGCGGCTGAATGGCAATGAGAACACTGACTTTAAATGGGTGATGCATGGCAATAAAATAGCCAGAAAAGAATTTGTAAAGGCAAAGTTGCAGCAAAAAGCAGGACATCACCTATTTATCACATTTAAATGAAAACTACAAGGGCATAACAAGAAAGTAACATACATTTTTTTTAAAGCACTAAAATAAAAATATGTTCACATAATGTATACTAATTTAAAAGTAATGTTCATTATTTTAATAATCACCTAAGGACTAAATGCATCTTGAAATATAACTAACTTGTCCATGCGCATATAAAAAATTCCCTCAATTCTGCACCTACCGTATAAAGTGGAATATAGGTTGAACCGGAATATAAGTCGACTCCCTAATTTACAAGTTGCAAAAAGTGAAAAAAGAAAAGCTTTTATGGCAAGAAAATGCAACGTTACCTTGGTAACAAAACCGGCCAAGTATACGGA